ATGGTATATACCCTAAAGTTACTCATTAATTTCAGTTATATAATGATGTAGTTCAACAGTGCGACGTGCTATTTCCTCATATTTAAACTAACCTCTTGTTCAGTACTCAATGCTTGCCACTTTGATCCTTGATTGACATAAAGTTGTTTATCATCTTTACGATATGAGAGAAGACCTGGAACATCTGGAATCTTGTCAAAACTTTCCTTGTCAGATACTGTCAATGTCTAAAACAAAGAAATATCCGATGTGATACTGTCAATGTCTAGAATTAAGTCCTTTATAACATCAAGTGAATTAAGAAATATCCAATGCTTGAGCAGAGGTCGGGCGTATTGTCAGAGAAAAAGGGTTAGAAGTTCAGAATAACTGCTGCCGGTAATATAAATCTTTTCTTGAAATATTCTACTTACACCTTCGTTTAAAAATGATCTAAGTTTTCCTGAGCAGGAACCCTAAAAACAAACCAAATATTTAATTTGTAATTGTTGTTATTGCTGTTGTTGTTGCTGATTTTGTACTGTATGTTGCTGTAACTGATACAAGTCTTGTTGTCGTTGTCGTTGTTGTTGTTGTTGTTGTTGTTGTTGCTGTTGTTGCTGCTGCTTCTGGTAGTACTCTGTCTGTTGCCATTAATGACAATAGTGTTATCTTCACTTTCAATAATATCCCCACCTTATGTGCGGTGCCTGTTTGTGGATCAATGAAATGTTTTTCAAGTTTTCCTGCGGAGTTTTTCACCACAAACTTCATACATCTTTTCCACAGACGTTCAGGCATTCTGGTTCGCACCCAAAACCAAACGAAAGCGCTTTTCATTACAGTTCCACCGTTAATTGCTGTACATTTCGGACCACAGTAGTTTTGCCTTCCACCTTTAGGTCCAAAACATGCACAACACTACAGAATATAGAGGAATGCAATATAGGTGGATATATTGCGCATGGACTTAAAATTTAATTTAACACTACATTGAATCGAATAAATGTGAACGTTCTTTGAACATTGATATAGAACATTCAAAAAATATCTTCAATGCGTCATATAGCAGATAACTACCTTGCCATGATCACATCCAACAAAAGCTGTGGAATTATAATTCATTCCAGAGAATGAAGACACTGCGCTATAGCTGAAGAAAATGACAACTTTAGCCAATAACAATTATCTAACGTCTAAACAGTTATAATGTTATTCTGATCATGTATATATGTGTAATATTAAATCGAATCATAATTTCACAGTTATGTGTACGTATTGACGACAATTAAAACTCCATGGTTCATTACCTGTATGATCCAAAGTTATCGTATCGAAATTTAATTACATCTAACACTGCGTAACCGTTATTGCACTGATGTCGAAGACAGTAATTCATTTTCCCCTAAAATGAGAATGAAATAGTTCTTTTTTCACAAAGAAATTGGTCTAGAGGTTGAATATGCACTCAATAGGATTTTTGTGGGAAACATCCCAAAAATTGCCCCCACTATATTTTGTGGTATTGCAACATGAGCTTTCATAAAAGTTTCAGATTTTTAGTACTAGGTAAAAGAATTATCTCATCGTTTTAACACATTGATATTTGACTTACCAAATAACCGACCGCTTACCTTCCAATTACAGAGGTTAGGCCAAAAGTATTTATTGGTATTTATTAAAGTATGAATGAGATGTTTAAACATAATTCCTGTCTACTTTTCAAGTGATTGAAGATTTCGTTTGATATAAAAATTAGTAAAATGAGGCAGAGGATTAGGCAGAAAATTGTTGGTTTGTGGAAAAAAGTTGGATAATGTTTAAAACTCAATACTGCATGTACACGTGTACAATATTGAGTTTTAAAGATTCAACTTTCAAATGATGAACATGGTAGAAAATTATTAATTTGAATTCTTTAATTTCATAAAATATTCCCGATTATTTTACCAGTAATTCGTATATTTGGAGAAGTTAGCGTATTGAAGGCAAATGGTTGATTATTTTATCAGGATTTGGGGTATCTCACTCCCGATATAACTACGAAGGGATTTGCAGATGGAAATTTGTATAGGTAATCGTATGGGACCGAGTAGAATTAAGGTTTTGTAATTTCACGCGTGATTTCAAAGTTTCACAAATTTGTGGAACTTTGAAAACACAACTCAAGTGAAATTAAACCTTAATTTTTTATTTACTTGTTAATCATAGCGGGCAAAATGTATTCGTAAGTTAATTGTGAACGTGTCAAGTTTTTGAACCTCGTATGTCTCCATGTTTTCGCCGATGATCCTTAATGCTGCCCATTTCTTAAATACTCCAACCAATAAATTTGCACTTTTTCAGTTTTCTAATGATCGAGTTTTCACTATAGAAGTTTTTAATTCTTCAGTAACATCATCCGCAACGACAAAGCGAGAAGCCATTGTTTTGATTGTTATTTAAAACAAGAAACTTCTCGCGCTTGCGTCTTAGCCAATCAGGCAGAAGTAATTTTGCCCTGAATTAAGAAAAAATTCCCTCATCACTAGCCAATCATATTTGAGTAATTTTGCCATCTATATGATTAAGAGTGGAATTTTTATACATTTGTTAGACCTATAACCAGGAGCAGTTGTGAAAAATGCGTCCATTGGTCCTCTGGGAAGGAATTGAACCTGCAACTCTTTGTAGCTCAGAGAGTCGCAGAGCGCTGGATCTTAATCACAGGGCCGCAGGCATGGATATCTTATATACACTAGATAGCGCATTTCTTTTAGTAAAATTGAAGCCAAGAATATTCCAGCGGTTACCCCCATTTGAATAGATGGCGGCCACTTGCTAATAAACGCTTAAAAACAATAGTTTAAAAACGTATTTGGAATAGGGTTAACTTAATGTTTAAGTTCCCTGTTTAAAAAATGTAGAAAACATACTAATCTTCTCATTTCATGGGAACGACCTGAGACTGCAATCACAGCTTCAATTGTTGAATTGCAGAATAATTTTAGGGCAGGTCTGGGGGCATGCTCCCCCAGAATATTTTGAAATCTAGGGTCCCTGAAATGCGACTTCCTGCATTTTCGGGGTGTGAGTTTGCATAAGTCCGAAGACTGTATAATGCATAAAAGACATGATTTTTCGTGAGGGAAAATGATGGATTAAAATAATTCAAATTACTTTTAAAACCGAATGATGATTGAAAGTAAATATATTTTACAGTAAAAACCTAAAGTAAACCCTTTCTTCTTGCGGCCATATCTACTTACTTAGACAAGGTTATACACAATTATATTGTGGATTTGGATTTTTATTTCACGCCCTCCCCCCCCCCCGTTGGCTAAATCCTGTCCAGCATCCCCAAGTTGAAGGTCCTCTCTACGCCCCTGGTTGTAAAGAGCACACAAAAGAATAGGATGGGAAGAACTACCATACGGCCATACTATGTTCTTCTTAACTTTAATGTTGGAGGGCGTGAAAAATTTTCAGACTGTTCAGGGGTGGACTACATTTAAACATATTAAAAGGGAGGGTCATTTTTATTATGCTGTTTGAATTTTAGAATCCACCAGCTCCCCT